GTGGTATTGATATGATAACTTTTGCCTACTCAGTTCCAATGGGGTCACTGCAAATAAACATGTGATGAATCGAAACAATAGAGACCTGCTGTATTTTTTGGAGTATAGTCGGGCAGTTATTGCTACGAGGGTGACACCTATTTATGTATCGATACTTAACCGACCATTAACCAACCTCCCACTAAGCTCTCACCAATGCTCTGATGCAGTATTTGTAATGACCACTTTCATTGCAGAGGTGCCTTTGAAAGACAGGGATGACATAAATTCGGTTACCATGGTGGACATTGATTCTTGGTAATACAAATTTTATTCAATTGCCATGAACAGCTATACAAATGAACATGTCATGGCGATGCCTCATGATAACGATGTACAACCAAATTAAGGTGTACATATCCAAAACTTAAAGCAAAAAAGAAGTACGTGTGAGGAAGACAACAATGAATCTACCAGCAACTATAATGGTTCCGTGAAAGGCACATCTATGGTGTTTATGGAAATGTGGATTAGCAACCGCATTTGAAAAGGGGCAACCTTTTTGTCGACAAACATGATCTCTCGAAAAGGCTTTAACTGAAATCAATCAAAGGGAATTTTCAATACACGATCGATGCATCTTCGAAGAGGCGTCTCAATATCAAGTGTAAGGATGCCCGCTGCCTTTGGTGGATTTTTGCATACTGGAAAGGTAGTGGCGAGTTTAGGATTGTGAAGGATGAACTTTGCCACCGGTGTGGTTTAGTTTTGTTCAAGGAACATCATCCGCAAGTCAATTCATGGTTTATCAATCACATGATGAAGCATAAAGATGTGGTGCAAGATATTAAAACCACAATTAGCTATAGGATAACATCCCGGGCTAGATTAGTAGCATCGGCATCATGATGAGATTTACCCGAGGAGTTGTATGCCAATCTATCCACGTATTGTGCTGAATTTTAGAGGCTAAATCTGAGCAGCTGATGTGAAAATTAACTTGACACACAAATTAAACCCTATTGATGACAATTGTAGTAATGATGCAAGTAGGGATCGTTCTAGACCGGGGATTAACTAGGGATGCTAATCAACACAAATAAGACTCAAAAACACTAAACTAGACTATATAGACTCAAAACTAACTCAAAACACTCAAAACAGCAAATAACAATAAAAGAGACTCAATTCTAGACCTAACAAGTGATTTGGACGAAAATAGAACTTCAAAGACTCAAAAGACTTAAAGGAAACAAGTTTTGACTCTAAAAACAAGACTTAAAAGCAAGGGGTTTGGTTTTGACGAAAATTGAACTTTAAAACATAAACACTGTAAACAAACTTAAAGACTCACGAAATTGATGAAATAGAATGGTGAAAGGCTAGTTAGAGGGTTCCTTCTCCACACATGAAACATATGCATACGACTCGATTTCCAGTTACTCTTTCAACAAACCATGAATGACAATGCCCCAAATTAACTAGATTGCACCAATTAATTCTCAGATTTCCCTAGATTCATTGAATTGAATGGAATACGCATTACAACCAAATTATTCTTATCAAGGACCCTAACTATGGAATACGCATGATAGAGACACATATCAAAGATCATTAAGTTCAATGGAAATCATAAGCATTGACGAGGCATTCATAACTATGGAATACGCATGTTACTCTTGCCAAGGATTTACTTAACACAATCGTGACTAGCGACTTTTACTACTTATGAATATAAGTTAATAACGATTAGGTGAAATTCCCTTGTACTCTAGCATCAAATTCATGCATGCAAACTAAGTGTCGACCCTCAATCAACATACATAAACATGTTATCAATCAAATAGATAAGTAAACCACATTCACTATTCATGAAATCATAACTGGAGGAAATCAAGTCATATAAAACATATGATCATGGCTTTGAATTCCCCTCTAACTACAAAGAAATTAGTTCCTCATGTTCGCAAATAAACAAAGATAATTAAATTTAAACATTGACATAGAGATAGAAAACACCTAGAAACGCTCCAACAATCCAAGCTCCTTGAATGGCATGCACGGCTCCAAGCGTCTCCTTCCTTCTCCTTTGCAAACTCACGGCACAAGAGGGATGTTTGGGTGAATGGTGTAGTGAAAATATGGTAGAGAGTGGTGATCAATTGGTGCAGCAAAGGGTTGTATTTATAGGCTGAAAATCACAGCCCCTAGGTAGCAAAGGAAAAGGATTTAAAGGCCTAATTTGCATAGGAAAATAACACACAATCCTTGGAGGAAAACAAATCAGAAATCCAAAGGGAATGGGAGGATAAGGTGCAGCATTAAACTAGGAAAGGATAAGGGCTTCTAGAAACCAAGATCCCAAGGGAATTGGGTAAAAACTCACGGCACAAATTGGAGGGAAAGTGGCTGAATTGCAATGCAAGGCAAAGGTCTTCTAGAAAGGTTCTAGGCGCCACTTTTGTAGGAAGGGATTAGGTCTTCTAGAAATCTGATTTTAAGCGTCCTAATATAGTTAGGAATCCTCTCATGCAGCTGAAATATAGGTGGATTAGGATTAGGATAAGATAGAATAGGATAAGGTTTGGATAAGGTTTCTTCACTTGAGCTGATTCTTTGGCTTTAACTTCCCTTCTTCAAGTAGGAAACCTTGTTTAAGTAGGAAACTTCAATCTTCTAGAAATCCAACTTCAACTAGGAATCATTCTTCAACTAGGAATCCTTCTTCAACTAGGAATCCATTGTTGACTAGGATTTCATCTTCAATTAAGCACTTTCCTACTTCAATTAGGAAACTTTGCATCTTCAATTCTTCAACTTTGAAACACATTCCTAGCTTCATCAATCCTTCAAATTCGTCCATTCTTTGTGCTCCACATGCATGAGCTCCATTCTAGCTCAATTTTGCTCCAAAATGCTCCAATTTGCATCTTTTTGCTTACTTTGTCCTTAAACTGAAAACACATGAAAATAGCTTAAAAGACTAACTTAACTAAGAAAACACAACATAAATGCATAAGAACTAGCTAACTAAGGCGCATAAATATGCTCCTATCAAATTCCCCCACACTTAGCTTTTGCTAGTCCTCAAGCAAAACAAAGAAACAAAACGAACCGAAACAAAATATCAAAACATAACCTAAACCTTCCAACGTTTGCCTCAGGGATTCCCAATGCACATGACAAATTAAAAATCATCATTCCCATAGATTTTAGTCATCTTCACACTTAAGCACATACTTAATCATAGTCACCACGTACTAGTTCACATTTAACCAATTAAAACATGATTTTGAATGTAGTAACATGCCTTAGAGAATTTGCTCAATTCCTTACTAGATATGCACTCAATTTTCACACAAATTTTCTAACTACACACCCTATACTAGTTATATGTGAGAAAATTGATGTAAATATGAAAACGAACGCTCACATATGTGTATAACAAAGAAAGCATTTTCTGGAGTTAATAAGCATTTAGTTATGATCTCATTAATGGAATGCTACTACTTAGATGTGAGAACCAAGGATATCATATGCTCATACCAAACTCCGCATATTGAAACACATAACAATCAAGATAGAAGCAAAGGGTTGTAACGGGGCTAAGGTATTGGCTAACAAAGAAAGGTAAGGATAAACAAACATTCTTAAATAATAATAAGCAAAGTAATGAAATTGACACTTAGAATTCACTTTTGCATGCAAAAATCAATTTTTAAACACAAGGGGAAGACTCATGCAACACTTAGGGTCAAATTCAACTTTCTGGACCCTTTCTTCAACAACCAACACATGTGAGGTAATTCTCACTTCTTTTCAACTTTTTTTCCATTCTTTTCACACTTTTTTCTTCATTTTTTCTTTTTCTACGAATTTTGCTCTTTTTTTTTTTTTTTTTTTTTAACTCGTGCCCTTCTACTTCTTTTGGCACACAAAATTTCCCTTCCCCAACACTTATTTTTCTGCACAATGTTGATCAAAAGGAATTCCCTCTAAGTCATGCTTTATTGTCCTTTAAGAACAAGGGTATGGATAGTCCTAATCTAGGCTAGGTAAGGATAATGTGGCTAACAAAGAAAATGGCTAACTAAGGCTCAAAAGGGTAAACCTACAAAACAAATGCATGGTATGAAGGCTTTTTGGCTCTGGTGGTAACTACTAAACAACTTCATCTTGTTATATGTTATGCTAATCAATTTTATGCTTTGAATGAAATGGGTATGAGTTCTAATATTTGGATCTATAATGATGAAAAGCCTTCTAAGTAGCAACCAAGCAAAGAATGATGAGATCATGCAACGACTTTAGAAAACAACAAATTCACAGATTATTAACTCTCCAAAGAATGTTTAGGCTCAAGTCTCTCAGGGTTGTAGCGTTAGTTTGAGTTACTTCCTTCAAGCATGTTACAAAAACTGATTTTTTCTTTGTGATTACATGTGAATTTGTAAACAACAACGATGACCAAGCATAAACAAAAGAGCATATCAAACGTCCATCCATGTGTGTAACTTTCTTTAACCGTCATGCAATTAAAAACCGAATCCTCATCATTGTGTTGGAAGGTACTCTAAGACACAAACAAACACACAAAAACGACTCTTTTTTGGGTTTTTCAAAACAATTTTGTCAAATGTTTATGGGATTTTCGGATTTTCTGTTAAAGCCACATAAAAACACATCAAAACATACTAAAAACACTTAAAAACAATGAAAAACAACCTTTGAAATGTTAGGTGGTAAAATCCTACGAATTTTGCAACAAATATACTTTGTTTACCCCCCCACACTTAAACCAAACATTGTCCTCAATGTTTCAAACATAGACTCACACAAAAACAAGCAAATAACACAACTAGCAAACATGACAAATATGGCAAAGTAAAAGCAATAAAGAGTAGGGTTTAGGAACGCAAATCTGGTTGTGATGCCGGAGCTTCCTAGGTCTTCCTTATTCGCTTGGGTTGCCTCCCACGAAGCGCTTGCTTTAACGTCTTCCAACCGGACGATGCCTCCAATCAAGCTTGAATAGTGCCCACAGCATGGAGGGAGACTTCCTCCACGGCCTTCTCCTCAAAAGTTGTGAAATATGGCTTCAAACGATGTCCATTGACTTTGAATTCTTGTTGCGTCTTCAAACTTTGAATTTGAATTGCACCATACGGAAAAACATTAGTAACAATAAATGGACCAATCCACTTAGAACGCAACTTACTTGGAAACAACCGAAGGCGAGAATTGAAAAGTAACACTTTCTGCCCGATAGAGAACGTCTTGCTACGAATCATCTTGTCATGGAATGCCTTCGTTTTCTCCTTGTAAATGCGAGCATTCTCGTAAGCTTCATTCCTAACTTCCTCAAGCTCATTCAATTGAAGCTTTCCATGAAGTCCTGCGGCATCGATGTCCATATTGAATGTTTTGATGGCCCAATGTGCTTTGTGCTCCAATTCAACCGGAAGATGGCATGGTTTCCCATAGATTAGCCGAAATGGGGACATTCCAATTGGTGTTTTGTAGGCTGTACGATACACCCACAATGCATCATTCAAGCACAAGCTCCAATCTTTCCGGTTTGGCCTTACGGTCTTCTCCAAAATCTGCTTGATTTCTCTATTTGAAACCTCTGCTTGCCCACTTGTTTGAGGATGATAAGGTGTTGCCACCTTATGCATGACATTATATTTCTTGAGTAGCGCCTCAATTGTTCGATTGCAGAAATGGGAGCCCCCATCACTTATCCGCGGCATTCCAAACCTTGCAAATATGTTAGTCTTAACAAAATCTGCAACCACTTTAGAATCATTAGTACGGGTGGCTCTTACTTCCACCCATTTCGAAACATAATCAACCGCAAGTAGAATATAAACAAAACCATGTGATGAAGGAAAAGGACCCATGAAATCAATGCCCCAAACATCAAAAATTTCAACATTAAAGATGGGGCTTTGCGGCATTTGGTCTTTTGGTCCTATATTTCCAGTTCGTTGACAACAATCACATGCTATGCAAAACATTCTAACATCCTTAAAGATAGTAGGCCAATAAAAACCACATTCAAGTACTTTACGTGCAGTCCTTTGAGTGCCAAAATGACCTCCACATGCATAAGTGTGACAAAAGTTTAAAATGGACTGAATTTCAGAATCATGCACACACCTACGAATGATTTGATCAGAGCAATATTTCCATAAATAAGGATCATCCCACACATAATTTCGTGCATCATACTTGAGTTTATCACGTTGGTTTTTATTTAACTCACTTGGAATGACTTTAGAAGCCAGATAATTAACTAAATCTGCATACCATGGCACACTAACCTCAATGGACATCAATTGCTCATTCGGGAATGTCTCTGGGATAGGTACGAGATCTTCTTCATGCACCAAACGGCTCAAGTGATCAGCCACCACGTTCTCACTTCCTTTCTTGTCTCGGATTTCGATATCGAACTCTTGGAGAAGAAGCATCCATCGAATAAGACTTACATGAGAAACAAATTCCCCCACACTTATTTTCTGCCATACATAATCAAAAGGAATTCAATTTGAATCATGCTTTACTATGCTTTAAGAACAAGGGTATGGATGATCCTAATCTAGGCTAGGTGAGGATAACGTGGGTTAACAAAGAACGTAGGCTAACAAGGCTCAATGGGGTTCACTTAAACATATAATGAAGTAGGATACACGGCAATTTGGCTTTGCTGTTGGTAACTACACAACTTCATCTTGAATATGTGTTATGCAAATCAATATCATGCTTTGAATGAAATGGGCATGAGTTCTAGCATTTGAAACTAAATGATGAAACGCCTTCTAAGTAGTAACCAAGCAAAGAATAATGAGATCATGCAACAACTTAGAAAACAATAATGCACAGATTATCAACTCTCCAAATAACGTTTAGGCTCAAGGCTCACAAGGTTGTAGCGTTTGTTTGAGTTCCTTCCTTCAAGCATGTTACAAAACTAATTTTTCCTTTATGATTGCATGTGAATTCATAAATTATAACCACAACCAAGCATACACCAAAGAGTAAATCAAATGTTCATCCATGTTTATAACTCTCTTTAACAGTCATGTAATTAAAAACCAAATCCTCATCATTGTGTTGGAAGGTACCCTAAGACACAAATAAACATACAAAAACAACTCTTTTTAGGTTTTTCAAAACAATTTTTCAAATTTTTATGAGATTTTTGGATTTTTATATCAAAACAAACTAAAACACTTCAAAATAGCTTAAAACACTTAAAAGAGCAAGAAACAACATTAGAAGTAATGGGTGATAAACTCCTACGACTTTCATGCAAAACAATGGTTACCCCCCCACACTTAAATCAAACATTGTCCTCAATGTGTCAAGTATAAACTCACACAAAAACAAGCAAATAAACAAATAACGAATAAACATGACAAGTATAGCAAGGTAAAAACAAGAAAGAATAGAGTTTAGGAACGCAAATCTGGTTAGGAGGTAGATGATCTTGTTGCCTTTCCACAGCTTTGATCTTGAACTGGATTGGAATTCTACGGTGAAGCTTTGCTCTTTGGCGATGTTGTTGAAGCTTCTTGAGTTCTTCAACTTAGACTCCTTCTGCTCTCGAGTTGATTGTGCAGGCTCAATTCCTTATTTGTTCTCCAGCAGATGTGGCAGCTTCTCTAGTCCTTCAACTCAGACTCCTTATGCTGGGTTGATTGTGCAAGCTGCATTCTTCTCTGCTTGTTTCTTCTGCACGTTGTCTCCACATGCTGCTGGTATCATTTTCGCTTGCCTTATCTGTTCTTCAGGTAGATGTGGCAGCTTCTTTGGAAGTACATCAGCAGTGGAAGACAAGTACTCGAGAGCAATTTCTCCATGTCCTGCAGGTTAGAACAAAGACAAGGAAAAGGACAAGGAGAATGCATGATATGAGATACTCTTGTTTTCAACCTTCATGATATAAAATACTTTTGCTTTGGATAGGTTGTTTGCAGAGGTACCCCAAGGAATAAGGAACACTGAGTGACTCGAGAGGGTTTGTTGGAAAGGCATTCTCGGAGATGAAGGAAGGTTATGTATGTCTGCCTTGCCATGGAGGGTAAAGGTCGACATTTATAGGAAATAATAATCGGTACTGTCCTTTCACTTTTGTCGGCAACCGTTGGATGATTGAACAGTAACTTCACGTGTTTTCTACTTCAACAGAAATCGTTGACAGATTGCCGGTGATTTCCTCAAAGCTGACGAGGCTGAGAAGGACAGATGGTTGGAATCGGCGCTTCGACAAACTGCCCGTGATTTTCGTAAAGCTGAGTTTGCGTGTGACGGGTGCTGACGAGGCTGAGAAAGCTGACACACTTTGATATCTGGAATCGGTGGTTTGTGAGCAAGCCCAACTTTTGAGAAAGCTGGCGCTCTTCGATATCTGGAATCAGTGCTTTGTGAGCAAGCCCAACTTTTAAGAAAGCTGGCGCTCTTCGATATCTGGAATCGGTGCTTCTTCGATTTCTGAGCTCGCCTCTTCGATCTCTGAAATCCCATCGCGTGCTGATTTTTATAGAGGTATGCAGGACGTTCAAAGCACACTTGAATTTCTGCCTGTAAGAACTCCCGTTTTGCACTTCTACGATCTTGACTTGTCCGATCTCCTCTTTCTTTAACACCTCTGAAAAATGTATGGCCCTTACAACCGTCGTTTTGACTTGAACCTTGGTGAAGAGGTAGCCCCGCCTTCTCCAGACAACATATGGCGCCCATCCTTCATATCCCCTACTGGTCCCCTTATCGTTGGGGATTCGGTGATGAAGAATGATATGACAGCTGCGGTGGTGGCCAGGAACCTTGTCACTCCCAAAGATAACAGATTACTTGCCAAACGGTCTGATGAGCTGGCTGTTAAGGAATCTCTGGCTCTCAGTGTGCAGTGCGTAGGTTCCGTGTCCAATATGGCCCAACGCCTATTTGCCCGAACCCGTCAAGTTGAATCATTGGCGGCTGAAGTGATGAGTCTCAAGCAGGAGATTAGAGGGCTTAAGCATGAAAATAAACAATTGCACAAGCTTGCACACAACTATGCCACAAACATGAAGAGGAAAATTGACCAGATGCAGGAATCTGATGGTCAGATCTTACTTGATCATTAGAGGTTTGTGGGCTTGTTCCAACAGCATTTGCCTTCGTCTTCTGGGGCTGTACCGCGTACTGAAGCTCCAAATGATCAACCTCCGCTGCCTCCTCCTTCTGGGGCTCCACCGACTACTGAGACTTCTCCTAAGCAGCATTTGTGAAGGCCCCTCTTGTAATTTCTTGCTTAATGTTCCCTTTTTTTTTATTTTTTTATTATTATTATTTTTTTTTATTTTTTTTTCATGAAAATGAATGTAAGAATATCTTGCATATCTATCAATGTTTCGAAAATAAACCCACACCCAAAAATAATTTAAATAAACAACAAAAATAAAAAAATGACAATCATGGCAAAATAGAAATGCAGAAAAGGGAAGGTTTTTAGAAACGCAAAACTGATTGTAGAGCGATTCATAGATCTTCCTTTTTTTAATACATGGGTTGCCTCCCAAGAAGCGCTTTCTTTAACGTCTTGCAGCCGGACGATACCTCCCGTCACATTCCCCTAGGTTCCATGGAAGTGATCTTCGAATGGAAGGTGATACTTGAAGTGATCCGGCAATGGTGTATGGTATGATATTAACTAGCACTCAAATTAAACCCTCTTATCAATTGTAGCAATGTATGTAAGTAGGGATCGTTCTAGACCGGGGATTAGGAGGGATTGCAAAATCACTTAGAATTGACTCAAAAACGTAAAAACAAGTTTAAAACACTAAAATAGACTCAAAGAATGCAAAACTAAACTTTAAAACTCCAAAACAAACCAAAAGACTCAAAACAGCACCCAAACACTCAAAACTGCCTTAAAAACACAATCTGGGCAGTTTTGGACACTAAGCACCAAATTGGACGAATTTGGGTTTTAACTTGAATCAAAACACTTAAAAACACAAAGTAAAACACTTACTAACTAATTTGACACTTTAAAACAAAGGGGGATTGGTTTTGGACGAATTTAAAAACAAAACAAAACTTTGTAAATTGACAAGACTCTAAAACGAATTTGGTTTAAATGGATGATGGAAGGCTAGCTAAGGGGTTCATCTCCACACATGTTATACTTGCATACAAAACGATTTCCAATTGCTTTTCAATAAACCATGAATTCTCAATGCCCCAAGTTAATTAGGTCCGCTTAAATTAACCTTCAGATTTTCCTAACGTTATTGAATTGGATGATTGCATACGACAACCCAAACATTCCCCACAAGTTCCCTACATGATTGCATAATAGAGATACAAGCAAGAATCATTAAGTTCTATGAAAACCATAAGCATTGACGAAGCACTTGTT